CCTCGGATTAATGCCTGTTCGGGGAGGATATTTTACTCAAGGAGAATTGCTCTGTCGCATATTATCCCATTCTCGTGTTTTTTTTACTGGACGTAACAGAAATTGTGTAACAAAAAGATATAGATAAAGGAGGCAATGTAGATAAATCTGGCCTTTCATTTTTCTACTAAAACAGTTATAATTGTAGTGTAGCATATAAAAATAATATAAAAAATAATTCTTTTGGATAATAATACCTTATCTGTAATACGGATTCGTCTAATAGATTGTTTATATCTGTTACGAGCCTAATAAAAAACTCATGAAAATAGGATATGCAACAGGGAAATTCTCCTTGAATTATGAATGATATACTTCGGATTAATCCCTATTCACAGAGGATCTTTTATTCGAGAAGAATTGCCCCGTTGCATGTTATCCTATTTTCGTAATTTTTTTACTAAGCTCATGACAGAGAATGAGATTATGTAATATCTATCACACGGAAAGATATAAAAAAAGAGACAATGTAGATGGATCTGGCCTTTCATCTTTCTATTAAAATAAATAATCAATTATAACTATTATGTAATATATAAATGTCTATTAAAATAAATGATTAGTTTTAACAATATAAATAAATATATAGTTAATTATAGAAAGGGTATAGCGGATTAAGGAGATGATTTCGGGCCCCGCGCGTAATCGATCGTCATAGTGGGCAAAATGTCCACCTAGATAAAAGAAAATTTTGTGCCAAGTTTCATTTCAAAAGATCCACTCAATTTCGAAATATCATAAAAGATGTGAATTTTTTTGATATTTTTTTCTCCGCCAAATTTGAATTAATTTTTATAAAAAAATTCATGATTACAAAGGTTATCCATATACATAAGTTTGAATTTTGTTGTCGTTCTGTGCTGAAAATTCTGTTTTTAAAAAATCCAAAATATTTTAAATCGTATTTTCTCTAGATCTAAAAAATTGGCTACTTAAAAAAAATTCAGTAGATAAGTGTTATGCCATATTATATTCGATATTTTTTTCAGATTTTTTTATTTGATGGAACGTGGCGAAAAAAAATAAAAATCGGTTTTTTTCTTATTTTTCGGCCTTAAATGTATTCGGTTGACATATATTAAATTGTTTCTAAATATAATTACTTACCTCCGATCTTATGTCTGCAAACAATAGTATAAAACTTTAATGTTATAAAGGTCGCGTAGTTTAAACTGCGAGGTTTCAATTTTTTTTAGTCGGAAAATCAATTTAACTGATTTTAAGCAGTTATTCCACTTTTTTTTAAACAAAGATCAATTTCTAACTATATTATGCACATAACAAACATGATAAACAATAATTATTATATAGACCGCGTAAGTGATAAACACAATTCAATTGAGAGTGCCTTAATCGGTCGAGGCTGGATCTTGGCACCAAATAATATTTCTATGTAAATCTTAATTCCATATTTCAGTCATTTTAAACTGCGCGCCGAATTAATTTTGTGCTTATAAGGCAATCATAAACCAAAGCCGGAATAGTTAGATCACAATTAAATCGATCTTCAATACGATACGATTAAGCATCTTAAAAAACCTGCGAAAAACTTATTGCGAAGAATATTATCTCAGCCAGAATTTGAATATACAAATAATAATGAACTAAATTCTTCGATTTATTTCGAATAATTTTAGGTTACTTGAAATAGGAGATATTATGCGCAAAATCTTAAGTCTCTTGACGTCATATTAGTGTAAAATAAGTTTATCATGTTTATCAGGTCCCAGGTCCCAGATTCAAATCCCGGCTGAGATAATATTTTTCGCAATAAGTTTTTCGTATGTTTTTTAAGGTAGTACACTCGCAAATTCAAAATATTGAGAATTTCTTGAAATTGAAACTATATGTTGTACACACGGGGCCATGAATGCCTTAACACTTGAAGTTACACGATGAAATAAGAACGCGTTTCTCATTGGAACGCGCTCTGAAGACGCGTTTCTGATTGGAACACGCTCGATACGTGCAACTTCAAGTGTTAAGGCATTCCTGTCCCCGTGTATACTAGAAGTCGTTGACACGCTTGTGCAATTAGAATGAGATTGACCATCTCAATACTGATATAAGCAATTAAAAATTGCATTTTTTATACGTGTCGTCTATACAAAGTTGATAAAACTGTCGCGTTTATTTTTGTAGAGCCTAAACTAGTATTGAGATTTCAATAAAAAACGAGTATGTGATGAAGGGATATGAAATGAATATTATGAAAAAAATTCATAATTTTTTACCATTTAGTTTGGAAAATAGAGTCTTTTAAAAAATATAATTTTCGATTTTTATTGACATATGGAGGCGAGTGAAGGAGGCGGCCAGTCGAGCTGCGTTAGTCTGCGTGTGTCTGAATTAATTTTTTTCTGCGTGTGCGTGCGGTCTATGGATAGGCACAATCAAATGTTTTTTCTCACTGGCGGCAATGGGAATATCGCCACTGAGCGCGCGAAGAGACCTAACTTTTGGATGGTATTGTCGCGAGTGTACTACCTTAACAAGGGATAACGATAAAAGCAAATCTATTTTCGCAATATTCTGCGGATGTATAACTATGAATCGTTTTTATCGCGCACGACTAGAGACTTACAAAGTAAAATTTGAATGTCGTAGAATGTCAAGTCA